AAATGACAAATTCTCTACCTATATGATTTATTTTGTTATTATTCTCCTCCCATTTATTCCAACTGTTCACTTTCCAAGAGCTCCCTCCAACCAAAATCTTCTTACTTCAACCACATCACAAGTGCACCCAATGTATTTAATATCCTTGTACTCCTCAACTATAAGGTCATTTATTCGCATGCCTTCAGTCCAAATTTTTCCCAAGTTCTTGATTTTCAAATACATTTATTTATATTCACTGTAAGGACAGCAGGGCAAACTTTAATACACGAGTGTTCAGATTTAAAGAATAGAATGTTTACTGCCACTATGAATCTATCCAGAAGATCAAATGAGAAACATTTGTAACTGATACCTGTAAAGAACTGCCACTAGGAGAATAAGTATTTGTAGTTTTTAGAGAACAGATTTCTATGCAAAAAAATCTTTGCAGCTGTTTAAGCCCATAAGAATAAATGTTACATTAAGGTTACTGCAATTATTGCTTGTGTATATATCAGCTAAATATTCTGAGTTATATAAATAAAATTTAATAATATGCACCTTACAAAATGGATAACTGAATATTTCACACATGACTACACAGCCTGTTATCAGCATGTCACGCTAAGGGCTGGATGTTGTCAAAAAGTACCCATCTTTGCTTGGATACAGATATACCCCACTCTGGTTTCCAGCACTTTAAGTGTTAGGACGAGCATAAGCCACACCTGCTCACACATCTATGTTCCGTCTGGCTAATCAGGTAACTGGGAAGGCAATTATAACCACAGCCATCGGGTGCAAAGTATCAGCCGCCACAGATCTTCACATAGCTTGTTCACAGTACTACAATTTACTAAGTGAACTGTGGTGAAGCAGTTTAAATTTGTTCACAAAAATCAGAAAAGCAAAATGAAATGCCACTTCCCATTTACGTCAGAATGTCAATAATTTTAATAATTTCACTTCTGATGGTAAGGTCTTTTGTCAGGTATGTGGAAAATTTACTGTGGCACGAAAGTTCTCAAGTTACACAACATTTAACTGGAAGCAAACATACTGCACTACCATCCAGGTATCACCTTTGCCTCTTCTCTACTGGACTCTGATAACAAGTGCGGTACAACATGAAGTGTGCAGAAGAAGATTAGGGTAGGTGACGTCTAAATCCCATGGGCCATTCACTTAGGAGGAAGCTGGCCAGATAAATGTTGAATGTATGATGGTAGAAGGGTCAATCATGATACGGAATGACCATGAATTATAGTTAACTAGACTGTTTAATTATAAAAACTTCACATTTTCCTTGTCACCGGATGTAATTTTTTTAAGATCACTCGTAATTGCTAGAAACACACGTACATTCTCAGCTGTGATGGTGCCACAGCTGGCTCACTGACACAACCCTCCAGCTCCACCATTCAACAAAGACTCTTAGTTTCACAACTTTATTGAAGCAGATGAAAGATTCTTGGGTTACAAGCCACATCAGGGGCCTGAACGGCGAATAAACCATATCTTCTACCAACGTTTCGAGAACAATCTGGCAGAAGACATGGTTTATTCACCGTTCATCCACCTGACACGGCTTGTAACCCGAGAATTTTTCATCAACTTCAATTGCCACGAAAGCTCCACTTTATTGAAGCAGTTATACATAAATACCCCACAAAGGTCACCCATCCTCCTCCTGTACAAATATTAAGCACTCTGCAACCCTCACGCCCTGCACTGTCATGTTAAGGACGCCAATGCTGTTACTGGGGTTTTGAAAAATCATCAAACACTACCAGGGAAATCACTTCTTCTGTCACATAAGGAAATGTCTGCAGTGCAATGAAGCTATGCAGACTCTGTTGCCACATGGCGTAAAATTTGACAACATACTGCTGCTACTTACAGATGCCACAACATACAAGAAGAAAGCAGAAGTATGCTACCCTTAATTGATACATCTTACATGCGTAATGCATGCTTTAAAACAATCCTTGTTTTTTATCCAAATGTAGGCAGGTTAGTGGCTAATTGGAACAGTTAAAACACGGCTCTTTAGAATCAAGCTCCATACACACCACACAGACATTGTACAGAAGCATAAACATATTCAAGATGGGTTAGCAACCTAGAACTAAACAGGCGAAAGATGAGAATGGTTATCCAAAACTTGCATGAATGTAGGGCAACTCAGTTTTCAACACCATCAATTCATCTTACAGTATTTTGAATAAGTCGAAGAAGTGCCTTTGCCATCCACTGAATGTCCCACGGAGTTAATGATGTTACAGATAAATATTCTGCATTTGTCAGATACTGGAGGAAAGTGGAAGCACAACTGGACAGACTTCAGTTCAGAGAGAAGTACCATACAACATTCTCACATACTCTGGTATTCCAATGCAACTAGTTAGTTAAACTACAACGCAACTTTGTTCAACATGTATTACATTCTACGTGTGAAAATAAATGCAAACAGTTGTGTGCCAAACACAGAAAATTTGATTATACGTGGACTGCCAAACGCTGTAGTAGCATATGAAATATACCACTGCTGTGTAAAAGCTACAAACATTTAGCTTTTGTTATGTATTTCTATAACGAATTCTTGTTTCATTCAGCACATGTAAGAGTGTAAATATTCAGCTCAACCAGCAATTTCTTCCTCCTACATTTTTCACTCCCTCTTCATCTTAACAAACTGCATGAATCCTGTAGTCTCAATCTCGCTTGCATCGTTACTGGGTTAAATCGCGTCAAACTGTTTTCCTGATATTACCCTTGGACAGCACTGAGCAATCAAAATATAATGAAGTAAAGAAAAGTTGTAAGGTTACAACACTCAATGAGAAAATAAAGATTCTAGATCTTCTGAGCAGTGGTATGGGTGCAGCAGCATATGGCATAACATTCCACTGATATTTCATTTTGAAGTCTTTGATAATTTACTTTAACACTTAACTTTCCAACAATACTTAAGTTACACAGTTTGTTCATAAACAGATATAATTATAGTACATTTACGATATTCTTCGTTATTAACATTGACTATCCACGCCCGTGTTCCCATATCCCCATTAATTCCATATAATATTAAGTTCATTCATTGAATGCACCTCTTCCAAGAAAAATATCCCCCATGCTGTGAAAGGGTTTAATGTATAAATTTTCTTTCATCAATTACTGGATGACGGAAAAAATGGAAAATTTTACTACATTCCAAATTAAGCACTAATTTTAATATGTACACTCTGAAGGAGAAGGTTACCCGTTTCATTTTCAGGTTAGACAGTTTATGTGCTTTGACATGGTTTTTGGTTCATGCCTGAGCGCCAAAAGTAAGGAAGACCACAGTTAAAAGAGTTGAAACAACTGTATCTACTTCATAATCATGTGTTCCCATTAAACGCAAGCTTTGAATTCCTTCTATCATAAGTCTAGTCTGTTTATAAGTTTGAGAGCCTTAAGAGCAGCCTGTTAATTACATGTGAAATTTTAAAACTTAACGTGAAACATTTATGTGGAATTTTTCATTTATGACTTGTAATTCTTCTACTATGACTTGCTTACTGTATCTATACACTGATTTCTTCCTTTCTAATCCACACACCAACAACGAAAGTACAAACATGGGTCCAGATGAACAGGAGAGGCAAGAAACAAATGGGCAATCCTGGGTTTGTACAGATGTTTCAAAAAGCACTAACACCATTTGTAGATCACATACAATGTCCAAATTCCACATCTCTACACACTAAATTTCACTGTTTTATAATCAGTATTCAATGGCAAGATAATAAAAACATGCTGAAGAACATTGTTTAAAAAATGTAGCTGTACCGGTGCTGACAGTCAAATCAATTTTTGCAAAGTGTTTCATGAATATAAATGTTCATTCATTCCAGTAAATGATGAACACGCATTTTATGGGCATGCAAATGACATGAGTAATGAGGCTAGGATCCTCTACCAGCAAAGTGTTTCGCAGTAGCGACGACATGAGTAATGAGGCTACCAGCAAAGTGTTTCGCAGTAGCGACTTCTAAATAGGCATTTCAAGCAGCTATTAAATTTTCACACACATACTGCAGAAGGGAGGCAATGAAAGGATGATGCTGCATCAGAAATTCTGCAAAGAAACTTGAAAAAAAGACTCATGGGGATTTCTGTAATTGTTTTGGCATGTAGAACGCAAGCCTTTCATTTGTACCAAGCCTTGAACTCGCAGCATGCATAATGTTCTTCATCTTCATATGACAACATATCATCAATAAATATGCAACATTTAAAGAATTATTTTGTGCAAAATAAAAAACACAATACGCACATTTCCTTTTGTCGTAATTCAAGCAACACTATATATAGGTACATGATATCTGATGTTGATAATACAAATGTCTACAAATTTCAGAGATGTTCATTACAGTGGTAAAGAAGTACATGTGGATATAGCAGAAATAAAGGATTAGGCACTCACTGCTTGGTGATAGGCACCGAGAAAAACACTACATATTTTCCCACAAGAAAGAAAATACAATCACACATTCACAGTGAAGAGCTGACTTCAAACAGCAGTAAAGTATAGCCTGTTACCGATAGGATGGCATACTGAATCCTCCAAAGTAGATGGTGCCATTTTAACACTGTAAACACGTGTGCCAAAACAAAATGAGGTACACAGATACCTTTATGAGAAATTACAAGCTGGAGGTCTATTTGATCAATTTCAAAGATACCACACAAACATTTTGTTAGAGCATTTATACGCAGAAATCAGACATGTTTCAAACCAACACGAGAATTGTAATGAAAATGAGGTAGCATAATTTGCCACTTGCTAATTGCAAATTAAAAGTCTTAATATTTCCTATTAGTTTAGTTGCTAAAACAAAAGGATAGTCACTGTAGATAATAAATATGCAACAAAGTACCTTCCTTGTAAAGATCCTAGGAACAAAAACTTTTATTTGCCAAAACTAAGCTTACTAAATTAAGTTAGATTAATGATTCACTATGGCATTCTGGAATTAAACAACTAATAAAATTAGCAAATACATTTAACAGTTGAGGCAGAACTTATGCATACCTCTTTTCCAGACCAATTCACAGTGATTGTAAACACACTGCTATGAACATTACCTTCATTCACTTCAGTCAGTAGTCAAGATTCCGTTTGGAGGTTAGTATTGATGGATTCAGCTTATGTAACACCTCAGCACTGCAAAACAAAGAAAGACTCCTTTCAGATAATCCAGTGTGAAATGATGGCTTTCAAAATCTTTAATTTACTGCACATTCTTTAAATAATAGTTAACAGTACACAAAATTGTTGAAGGTTATTAAAAATATGTTATGTTATTTCACTTTGGCACTAAAGTAATAACATACTCTGCATGCCATCTTATCCTTTTACCTATTTTATACGTATATTACAGATTTCTGTAATAACCAGTTACAGCAGTTAGATGCAATTCGATGTTATTCGGCACAATTCATATGCCATCAGAGAAATGGTATAACATAATTTATAAAACAGCAAGTACAAATATACTGCGAGACAATGGAATTATAATCAAAGTATTGATAATAATAGGCAGTCGGTTTCAAGACTTGACCCCTAACCGCCTTCATTTTGCACTCACTGATTAACGACCTATGCCTACAGGTGACAACTGTCTGAAACGAAATGCGAATACTTATAAATAAAAAACAACTTTTATTTCAAGCAGGAACCTTTGCATTGTTTTGTATAATACCTTTCGTTGAATAAATTCAACGTGCATAACATATTAGACCTATGATTCCAGCACGTACCACACTAAACCTATCCTACAAGTGCACTTCCTCTGACGTCACCGATTGCTCCTGCGCGAACAACTTGACCTCGTCCTAAGAAAATCTTCCCAAATTCATTTATTTACGTAGCTGATCTATTTAAGTTGCGTTTTCCCATACTTCATGAGAAGTCACAAATTAATTCACACTAACTGAGACTGCAGTAAAAATATTAACACGACCCTAACAGTGAATATGGTAAATATTACACTTCCCGATGATGTCATTATGACATCACTAATCGCCAACCTTCATCTCCCGCAAGCATTGTGACCTTGATGAACAAACACACTGTTGTCAATTACAGCATGTTTATATTCTTGAGTCGTATATGACTGTTGACAATTAATACGGTTCCGCGGTAGTAAATAATTTTTCGTCAAGACAATTACATTCTGGAACTCTCCCTACAATGATTGTTTCTTCAGCGAAAAACGTTTTTAAGAATATTCTGGGAATTGATATTTCTGATTTCAGCAACAATTCTATTTATTTTACAATTGTACAGAGCTGAAATAATTGCAAGAAAATCGTAATTGCATAACACAGGACCAAAGCCAGAGGACGTATGGGATGATATGATTTCTGTGCCATGTGTCCTGTTAAGTTCATGAAGTTCGATATGTTTATAATTTCTCTGTCACCGTTTATAATAAAAATTAAAGAAGTAGAGAAGCGATAAAGACGTATTGTAGATCAACCCATTTCTTGCGGATATCGAATAGTAAACGAAGGTTTGTGAGTGTACCAATTTATGTATTCGACGGATGAAATTTAGAGCATTAAGAATGTTCAAACTGAGCGCGAAGTAATTCCCACATTAATAGTCCGTGGTCACTGAATACATAAACGATAAATGGAGAAAGCTTTGAAATGAATTGTCGGTATAAATGTGCGTACGTACTATTTTGATTGACAAATTTGAATGTACCAAGGAATCTGAAACTTGGATTTTCTTCTTAAACTTAAGTAAACACTATATGGATCCATAATTGTGCAAACAAAGTATCTTGATAGTATCACAATTCTCATATATTCAGGTCTGTGCTGCAAGTGGCTTAGAGGAGCTAGCACGACATCTATGTTACAAAAAATATAAAAATGAAACAACAGATATATCATTGCCACTGCTAGGTTACACAATTCCTGCGTATGAAACGCATTGCTGGAAACTGTAAACAGTTCCTTAAAACTAAAACGGGGGTTGTCTTACGCTAACGGAAATTTTGTAGTGGAGTAAAGCCTAGATTGATCAAACTATGGGTCATTGCTACTGGTAGAAAATTATCCCATTAGGCAATTTGTCCTTCTTGAGACTGATTTTGGTTTAATAGCTCTCTGAGATGTGAACTCAAATGTGGGGATCACTTTGGCAGGTGGCTTCTGCAACTTGAGGGGAGGAAAATCACTTCAGCTGAAGGCCTCCATGATCGGGGGGAGCGGGCCGTGCCCTTCTAGAATTATACCCTGGCATTTGCCTTACAAATAAGGAAAAGTAGGGAAATATTGTCAGTATAGCCGCTCCACTGTTCGTTCCTCGACCCGTTCAGCCGATAGTTCACCTGCTACAGTCTCCTCAGCCGGTACTTCTGGCGTATTTCATCCTGAATACTAGCGAGTAGAGGGGTCGCAGGTCGACGTTTGGGAGTAGAAGCCACTTTGGCTTTCTGAATTGTGTAGGTCAGCTCGACGAACTTGTCGATTGCCTCCTCGTAATTTAACACGCTATTCACCGGGCGTCTGCTTTAAAGCAAGCCTGGAATGCAACCCAGTTCATTCGTGTGAAATTGGGATGGTCAGAGAGGTTTTGAAAGGATGATCGGTATGTGGTGTTGATCAGGATAAGCAGATGATCTGCGCTGAGAGCAGAACAGACCAAGAGATGCTCCGGTAGGACGAAGTCCTTGACAAAATGAAGCTTTGTGTGTGTAACGAGCTGTGACTTGTGAGTGCGGCCTGTATGATACTGTGCTTGAAGCACAGATGGTGTGGAGGTATATAGTTTAGCGCTACAAGTCTCTTGTTTTCTAATTAGCAGCACACCACTGTGTGAAGAATGACGACTTTTAAAGCACATTGGAAGGATTTCAGACATGTGTAAATACATGCAAGGGAGGCTAACATAAAAGTTTCGGCGCTGTGTGTTGTACCAATTAGCTCTTACCAGACAACATGTTTGGCAGGGTTGCCAGTCGTTGCAAAACTATCGCAAGCACACGAGATCATCTATGACATAGACACAGATAATACCGGCGCAATTATGGTGTAGATATAATACCCATTTGACGATTAACGATGGTGTTATATTTTGCCTGTATAAGTAGTGTGTGTTAATTCGTACGATACAGTTTAAGTTACGAATATTGTTTAAAAGTGATGTTACATATGTGTGCTTTACTGTAGTGACGAAATTTGTCAGAATTGTGATTTTGTTAGATTTATAGGCTTTCAGTGGTACTATTTTGGACGGTTTTTTAATTTTAATTGCAGAAAATCGATTGCATGTGATAATTCACTTATTCGCAGTTGCTCAGTTGTATGTAGTGAAATTACAAGATAATTTTATAAAAATGGATCCTAATTACACTAATGAAACTGAAGATGAACAATATTTCCCAGTGGAAGTTGAACTGGAAGAGATAGAAAAAGATGGAGATGGTCTTTTAATAGATCTCGTGAAACGTTACCCACATTTGTATAACAGAACATGTAAAGACTACAAAGATGTACTTGTGAAGGAAAATACATGGCAGGAAATATCAGTCATGATGAGTATGCCTGGTATGTTTGTGCATTTACCTTCAAACAGTGGATATTGTTAAGAAATCCATAATTGTCATCAGTGGGTTTTCAGTCTCTAGGGATAACATTATTATTACTTGTAAAGGAAAATAAAAAAACCGTATCTCCATGGGTGATTTACCAGAATATGAATCCGCAAGCAAACACAAAAGCTCATTTCCACATTTGTTGTTAGGTCCAGCATAAGTCAAAATGCCACCACAGAGATAACAATTCTACTGCCCCCACCTCTCAGTTAATAAAGTCAGTTTTCTCAATACAACACAATGACCCGATATTCCCAGATGAGAATTGTCATTGGTGTTTAACAATAATAATGTAACAACAGCATTACCTTGAAATTAATAAGTAAAATAATTATAATATGAAGAGACAAATGAGGATCATTAAACCTCTACCAGATTACATGGTACAACAACCCAGACTCACTGCCATGAAAACCATAAATCCTACCTGGTTCAAGCACTACTGTAAATCAGAATTGGTTAGACTGCTTTTCCTCTGTGGATTACTAGACTTATTTATCCCTGCTGAAAACAACAAGGACTGTTGAAATGGCTATATTATTACACCACCAAAGAATTCTGACAATACAAAGAGCTATTACCAAGACCTTTACTGGTTGGGTATCTGCAGTTGTAACCAAATTTAGAAGCAAATTCATGTTGTTGTGACACAGAAACACCATTCTGAATCTCTGGTACAGTGTGTTAAAAAGTTTCTGCCACTCTACTAATCTGCTTTCCAATATTTCAAAGAATAATAAAAAAAAAACATGGGTTCAAAATGGAAAATGTCTGCTAACTTTGCTGTCAGGCTGCTTATTTTGAAACTCAGGTATTGGGGAAAATTGATTCTATTTTATTTGAATATTCTAGACTAAAAACTACTGTGAATTGACCACAATTTATTTAACAATTTTCTGCCTTTTGAAGTGCTTAAGTTCCTATATATTCTGGCCACCTGACTAAACAGAGGGTTTTAAATACCTATAATTTAAAGGGGTTAAAATATTTGTTTCTATGTGCCTGAAGAAGAGAGGTGGTGATGAAATTTTTTTTAAGGGAAGCGTGGTGAGGAGAGAAGGTGGTGAGAAAATTTTTGATGACCCTGTGAATTGGGAAAGGATTTTGGCATCTGTGGGTAAGGAAGGTGATTCTTTGACCACGAGGTTTGAAAAAGAGATGATGGAGAATGGCCAAAATGCCCAGCCATTACATATTCACCCTGAGGATGATAAATGCAGTGTTTGCTAAAACATTGGACAATTTTCAACAATTGATGCATCCCTTCCCCAAAAACTGAAGTTATAAAACCCAAGAACAACAATTCATGATGTTTCATTAGAAAGATAAAACAGACAACAACCTTTGCTAGATAGTGAACTTAAGCAGGTTAACATAAATGAGGCTGTGTCGTAAGGCAGGTGGCTAGACGCTAGCTTCTTACTGCACTGACCTCATCCCAGGCGAGGCGACTTCGTGTGAAATTCATGGTGGATGAAGTGGGAGTGGAAATTTTTGTCTGGAATTCTTCAGTCTTTTCTGCTAATTATGTTTCAGTCATTGTGCGTACTCATCTGTCATCACTCAGTGAGGTAGCTCATTATCATACCCTTGGTCCTAAGTTAGGGGCTTTGTTTTCTAACCCAGTAATTGGCTGATGTTAGAATAAATACAGTTTCTGTAATATAAATGAAGCATCAGAAAATAAGAGTAAAGTGGAACCAGCCAGAGTGTCGACAGTGTTTTCTTCAACAGGTCATATTCAAATAGCAGGGAGGAGGACCCTGACAGAAGACGTGTAGTAGGAACCTACTCACTACATGACTTACATTTACTCGTAACACTGGGATAGTAATTTGTGGGTTATGCATCTCCTTTCTCAGTACAACAGATCAAAGATAGTGAAAGGTTTTGGTGTAACATGAATGGACCATCAGTACTGGGATTTTAACCTGCAAGGGCTGTGGAGCAGTGATACTTCAGTTCCAGAATAAAAGATTTGTGTGGCAACAAGAAGACATATCAGTGGAAGTAAATGTAGCCATCTCGCATGTTGTTTCATACCAAAATGTTATTTTGTATGACATAAATGTGCACAAGTTTCCATCACAGTTTAATAGATATGAATTATTGTATTGGTCACTAAAATATAAAACCTTTAGGGCAAAAAATGATCTCATTCTTTAATTTCTTGACTGGCTTCTAGTAACAAAGAAAAAATCAAGCCTTGGTTCAGAATGTTGCCTTTGTAATGAGTCCTTGCATTCCACAACATTATGAAGTTTTTTTACTAGAAACTCATGCCATGTTTTCTTTGCAGGAAGTGCCCATATAATGAGCTGAATCAGTTTCAGTTGGTGTAAAGGGACTTTCAGCAATAGCGGGGTTCTCTGCCTGTAAACCAAAGTGCTGTGACCTTTTTCCAGCTTCTTTCCCTGCTTTTGTATTTTCAGTATTTCTGTTTGCTTTCATTTCAATTAGAAATTCATCAGCAAATACGAGTGGTGCAAAATTGTTAAAATACTGTTCAAACTCCCATAGGTGTTACGAATCTTCTTATTAACAGCGACTTGTGAATCTGTGGTCACCACTAAACCCTGCAAATACATTCTCTTCACTTCAGATCTGCATGTCAACATGGCATGATTCTCTTCTCCTTGCCTTCCTAGCCTCCAGCCCAGTGGATATGGGGGTAAAGTGGCCAGAGTGTAAAGCTGACTAAAAGGTCGGGTCATCCTTAGGTGAAGAATATATGGAGCTTTACCTCCATTTTCCTACAAGTCTTCATGACATTGTGCTTAGGCACAGCGACAGCTTTATCTTCTCTACTACTGATTTTATTTTGCAGCTGCTGAATGTCAAAACAGATGGTTGCGACTTAGAGAAAGGTTCACGAAGGAAAAGCGTTTGGAAGAGAAGGAGAAAAGAAATGAAAGTACAAGTGAGATTCCGAAGAGGAGACCTTGGCATTTATTTCCGAGCATGACTTTTCTTAGCACACACATTAGGAAGAGGAGGTAGGCATGTAGAATGGGTCAAATGGATACGCTATTTCAAATAGGGCTAAACAGATATATGACCAATGTATGACGAAGAGTAGGTTAGCCACACGGGCCATATGAACAGATTCCTCATACTTTCTGCATATGTTGTGAGATTCAGGTTCTCACAGCGGTGAATCTGAAGGTGGCTGTCTTCTGGGTTGTAGTGCAGTGTTACTTTCATCCACTGCAGATCAGTTGGAGTATTTGCATTTATTTATATTATTTTTCCTTTTTTGACATTCAAGATTGAGAGGAGCACAATTTCTTTCTAATTGTGAAAGGATTCTGCTTGGCCTTGCCTAATATTTTTAGTTTTGTTGATGAAATCATGTTGTTCTTGACGTACAACCTTGGCTTGGGTGGTCACATGATGAACTCCCTTTTCTACATGCAGAAGATGATCACATTTGAAATGAATATAGCATCCAGTACGAGTAGGCTTCCTGTGCACTGTGGTGACTCTTTTTGTGACCACGATGTCTAAGAATGGAAGGGTAATATTTGTTTACACTTGCATGCTGAATTGTATAGTAGGTTGTAGGTTTAAGTCTCATCAGCATATCTGAGTCACCTAGTTGGTTTGTAGTCTGCTGTGTCTAGTGCCTGTGTGCATTGTGACAATAGTTCCATTTTGTTGGCTCCAGTTACATTTACACGGCATTGTTTCACGCTGGTTTCAGATCTTTCAGACCCATAAGACCTTTAATCCAGTCAGTTCACTCATTAACGGCTGCAGAAGTGACCAATTCTCCTGAAGAGGTTTCATGTAAGATTGAATTGTTACCAGAAATGTTACAACATGTCAAAACAGAAGTATCACCACCTGTGGGATCATCAATATCAACAACTGCTGTGGCAACAGCATCGTCATCTCCTGTTTTAACAACAGGGTCATCACCCGTGGCAACAGTTGAAGCAAGCTCAACAACTTCCACTTTGTCACTGCCAAAACTGTTGAACTCTGAGAAAACAACAAATTGCCAGGCTTGTGAAGACAGACACAAGAGAAAAGTCGGGGATGATTTGGAGCAGTCATGTTTGTCGCTGTCATCAGTAATAGCAAAACTTGTAGAACGTTCACCAGCAAGAAAGTCCTTAGATGAGGATGACCTTTTTGGTGAACTAGTAACAGCAGAACTTAAGAAAATGAAATCTGGCGAGAAAGAAAGTGTAAAAATGGAGCTTTCAAAAGTACTGTACTGCAGAAGAACTAACCTACAATAATAAATAATGTAAGGTTCATGTTAGTGTTAACCCTTTTCTGCTTCTACAGAAGCACGCCAATTTCAGTGCTGCGAGTGCTAAAAATTGTTGCTGTAGAAGTGTCTGACACAAGCTTCCATATCACATGAATCTGGCGTGTATGGGAGAGTTTTAGTACCTGTTGGTGGTTTAGTAATGCTTCTTTGTCTTATTGGAAAGACATTCGTGTTTGGTAAATGTGAGCATGATAGTGTATACAGTGGTTAGTGTAGTGAAACAGACATCTGCATGCCTCCATAGTCAGATTTACAATCATAAGATAAGATAGAAACAAAGATGCACACATAAAAATATACAGTAATAAAAACCTAGAAAAACCCTTGGCATTACGAAAGTTTGTAGAAATTTGGCACCAAAGGGTTAGATTTTATTGCATGCATCAACATCAGATGGTTTCGATTGATTATTAGGTTATTTTACAACTTTATCTCAGACTATATATAGTCTCAAATGCAGTGGGAGGATGATCATAAATAGTAGATAGGCAAGGATTTGAAGGGAGACAGTCATGGCCTTTTTGAAGGTACTGTCCTATCATTTGTCTGGAGAGGCATAAGGGAATCGTGAGAACCCCAACCAAGATTTGAACTGGGTATCCCCAGAATGCATGTGAAGAGTTGTTACACCAAGCTACTCAGTTATAAAATATAGTTTTATTCTGTCATCACTGGCTCTCTTTTAAAAAAATGAATTCACTTTCTGAAACATGTATATTAGGACAAAAAAAAGGGGTTCTCCATTTTACTCGCTCAAATTAAAACAGAATAATGCTGGGATGAGGTCCATAGAGCACAGTTAAAAGTCACCCAGCTATTCATGAATCCAAATGTTCATTACCATGTTCACAACAGCTCTCCAATGGCCCATACCCTGAGCCAGATAAATCCAATCATCTTGTCCTATTTTTAAAACCCCATTTCAATAGTGCCCTTCCATCTAAATCTAGTTCTTCAGGTTTTCTTGTGAAAGTCCTTCGTGCAGCTCTTTTTCTGACTATTCATGCCACATGTCTTGAAGTCAGTAAGTAGTTGATGCACTGTCTCAGAGTATTACTGTTTTGTTTTTTATTTCAAGTATCTGATAAGTGCGAATATTTGGTTGGTAGTTGATCTGTTATATCAGAATTCGCACTGATGATCCCCAATAACATCATTGACATACGGAGTGAACTTTGACAGAAGAATTTTAGACACAGTTTTGTATTTAGTTGTTAAAATTTATATTACTCAGTAAGTACTACAGTCAGTATTACCACCCTTATAAAAAGGTACAGTAACAGATTCCTTCCACTGTTCTGATAGTCTTCCTTATCTACTCCTAAGATAATAGCCAATGTCAGTCTAGCTTTTTTGTATAAGTGCACCATTTGTGCAGTGTGGAAAGAATTTAAATTACATTTTGAAGGTGATGACTCTGGTAGCAAGATATCCAAACGGGGCTGTGGTGGGATCTAGCATAGTCTGCACTTGGCAGGAGTCTGGGATCAGTTTGTTTGTGTTGATGTGTTTGGTAGGAATCTGGTTTCAGTAGCTGTGAAGACATTTCATCATTTCACCATTTCACTTAGTGTAAAGAAATTTCATAAATTTTGTATTTCCAGCGTGATTCGCAAAGACAATGATCAAAGTTCTGATATTACACCTAATAAACACTGGGGCACTGCTTTCAAGTAGTCCACTAATACTTCCACATCCCTCCCAATTTACTATTAATTGAAAAAACATTTTAATTAAACTAGGCGACAATCATACTCATTGACTTATCTTTACAGACTTTCACATCAGGATGCAACAAGAATTTTTATGTTTGTTTATTGGGACATATTGCCTCTTAAAACTAGTTCTTGTTGGTTCCTGATGTGAGGTCCCTTATGGATGTGGTATAAGTTGAAAAAATGTGTCTGAATGTGCAGTAAAACCTCAGTACTTTGAATTGTCTACAGTTCATATTTTATTCTTTGGATGTATTTTATTTATGCAGAATAAAGCCTTTTCCTAAATGAGAATTTAATGATACTGTACCATAATCAATGATTACACAGTGGGCTCTATGTTTAAAAATACAAGATGGTCTATTTCACACTATTACTATTGCTTACTTTGTGGATTAATGTATGATTCATCACAAATCATAGTCCTTATTATCTGAATTTCTTCGAGTCTCTTGAACTGCTTGTTTTTATGAATTATGACTTGAAGATATTTACATATAAGTATGTTTCATAATAGGATGCTTCACAAATTCAGATTACCTTTCGCCTTATTCATCTGAATTAGCGAGGTTTTACTGTAGCAGAATTTGGATGAATGTTGAAACAAAAATTAAGCACGCAGTAATTTTTTATGAGGGATGTGTGTCACATGCAGTATTTGGTACGCCCAGTAAGGATCATATCCCTGTATTTTAGCATCTGTGCTGGGCACTACATGTGTATTGTATATAACAAAATTGACATTATTACTGATCATAATTGATTTTAATTTCTTATAAAACTTATGACTGTAGCTTCTGTTTGTAAATAAAGTAATGTTACATATTTATTTTATGGTACAGAATTAAATATAAAAGACCATTTTATTCAGTTGTAATCCATTAACGTTAAAATCTGTATTACTTTGCATTTAATGCTTTTTGCTGTTGCAATGCATAAAACTGTAATCTCAGAATTAAATGTTCTTGTATGAATTTTGTAATATATGGTAATATGCTGGAGTGGAGAAACTTACATAGTATAGATAAGCAAGTGAGCCATTTTTGTCTGATATTCTGCGACTTTTCTCCTCCACGATTTAAAAAGTTTCTTGCACAGCCAAATTTTCCGATTAAGTTGGTATTTAAATCCTTCAAAGTATGGAGAAAATCATAGAATAAATTGTAGTCTGTTCATTCCAATTTCTAACCTAGAATCTCTGGATAAAACATTATACATCTACTGGTAAGGTAACACTACGTATAAGAAAACCTCAAATCTTACATACGTATAAGAAATATTTCAAAGACTGTTCTCCACTTTTATCAAGTACAAGTTCTACATGTATGCACATAAACAACATTGTTACTTAGCAGCTTCCATATGTGACTGGAACTGGGTAAGATCAAGGGTCAGGACCTTACTGATTAAACACTCTCCAACCTGGAACAAAGAAACAAGCCATTACTGACAGCAGAAACCAAAGCCACCTCACACGATCCTGAGCTGTTCCCAGACCTCACAAGCCGTTTCCCCAATCTTATCTTTCCCTTTCCTCCGTAGTATTCCATCTTCCAATCTCCAACAGGTTTTCCCACTAAAATACTCATTCATGTGATGTGTGTCTGCTAAAGGTTTATTCCAAATATGGATCTGTATGCCGTAGGCCACTTTTACTTATCATATTTGAAACTACTCAGTGTTGATAAACTGTTCTGTAATCAGACCACTGGACAAAATGACTCTGGGAAAGATCGTATTCATTTCAGTACGAGGCTTGGCCGAACAAAAATACTTGCAGCAGTTCTAATACAAGTGCAGTTCAGATTTTCTACCACCGTAAATATGTAGTGTGAGGTCAAATTCGATTATAATATGAAAAAATCAGAATAACTGAAAATAAATGTAAAGTATGTATATAAAGACATTATTATGAAACTTTATGTGCAGGTAAATGGGTTCATTTTCAACAATAAGAGTTTTCATTTCAAGTTTGAAGATTAAAATACGCAATAAATTCACTGTATTTTGTAACGTAAACGGACCAGGACATGCCTGCATCCTGAAAGCACAAGGATTCAAAACATCATGTTGCAGAACTTCACATGTATTATACTTACATCAGGGCAAATGCCTATAAGGGCATCAGCATGGCTGTAGAACTCTTCTTTCAATGATATCACTATGGTCTGCAGTGATGCTGTTTTGTCACGGATGTAGCTCGCCACTTTACCGATGTTGGTGTTGTCCAATGCTGCATCAATTTCATCCAGCACAAAGAATGGAGATGGCTGGTAGCTAAATAAGTAAATGGATCATCTTTCAAGCTACATTTGACGTCTGTCATCACAGTGGCGAGGAAAAGGAGCAAAGAATGTCGAGTTCACATTGTTATGGGTCTGGTGGTACATTTTTTTAAAAATTCTGCCAAATGATTGAAACACTTTGCTTCTTAATAGCCCCATAAAAGAAATCACAAACTGACAGAATGGGTAAACAAAATGGCCAAGAAATGACACTATAGCGGGAAACTATTCAATGCTCAAACACAGTCCTTAAAGTGTTCATCGGCTGCTGAGCAGTAACTTTATGAAGAATCTGGAGGGAAACCCCGTGTTGCCTATTTGTGAATGCTTATTAAATACTCTCCACATCTGGAGGCCTTCTCCTCCACAACCTCATCATGCAGGCAGTGCAATGACGGAGACGATGTAAGAGCAGTACTGCTGACAGCAAAACTGCTGTAACTCAATAAATTTATTTCCAAGTTAAAACTGAAACACAAATAAAGTGAAAATGCATAAAAAGTGTTTGTATGTAATTGTTTCCAGGTAAAATTCTGAGTTGTCTGAACCATCATACAGATGTAAACTCTTTTGTTCTGAGCTGTCAGAACCATCATACAGATGTAAACTCTTTTAAGGTTTATAAGTATCTTGTTACAACTCTTTCCTTTATTAGTCCTGGTTAAAATACCTTGACGTGTGAATTATATTTACAGGCTGTAATTTAATAAAGCATACAGGACACCTGAAAGACTCTGGCATATAATTTTGTATCTATTCAAAACCTTGTGTTGCGAGCAATTCTTTCTTACCTGTGGATTGCAAACAGAAGAGCGAGTGCTGCGACGGTCTTCTCTCCTCCTGACAAGTTAGACATTGGCTGGAACCTCTTGCCTGGTGCAACGCAGTTGTAATTGATTCCATCCAGATATGGCTCCTCAGGGTTCTCTGGACCCAAAAATGCTTGTGCAGACTGATTCTTGGCAAGACTCTGAAACAGATACATGATTCTAAGCTTTCGCAGCAAATAAACTCAATAAAATCTTACGCAAAGAGACCAGCGTTTCGAGAACCATTCCCGTCTCCATCACCAGGGTTCTGATGTCTAACATCAGAACCTTGATGATGGGGATGGAGTTGGTTCCTGAAACGTTGGTTGTTTTGCGTAACCAACTGACGTGGCCGAGTGCCCGAGAAGATTTTATTGAGCGAAACAGAAGGTTTGTACCTGAAGGCATAAATATTATTGCATGCTAGTGTTCTATTAGTTTATTTTTTATTCCTTCCCAGTTCATTCCATTATGCTTTTAATAGCTTGAATTATGCAGTGTAAAATGGTAGAAAAATTAGTGAATATTGAATTGAAAAACACACAGAATAAAACAATCACCACCTAACTTCAGGACTGACTGACAGAAAATGGCATTACTGGTACAGTAATTATGAACAGATCAATGATTACAGCAAGCGCATGGAAAGAGCGTAGCAACTAAGATATATCACTGAAGTGTATGAGAAACAGAACTAAAGACAAATAGTAATCAATTTTATAACAGAACTCGGTCCTCATTATTAACACACAATAAAGAGGACCTTGCTGACAGATGCCAAAAGGAGATCACATTTGCGTGTTAAGCAAGAAATCTGCGAATGAGATGGAAACTAAAATTGAAAACAGTTTCTACTGTTTCTGCATGTTGTTCTAAAAATATCTTACCATTGCAAATATACACAATCCACTTTGAATCACAAATGACAGGTATTTAATTATTTGAAAATGAGACACCACTTACTCCACACAATTACCTTGTAAATGTTGTCAATCTCATTGGCAACATGTTCAAAGCAATTCATGAAACGATCATGTCTTTCTTTCTTAACCCGTTCAAAATTCTGTTTCGCTTTGCGGGCATGGCGACGTGCAGTTTCAAATTCCTCATTGGTTTCTTGCAGTTTCTCTCTTGCCATATCCAGTTTCTGCATTGCCTACAAAAGAATCATGCAATTGAAATGTGTGAGAAAGAATTGGGTGTTAACGTAAAAAAATTCTTCTGTTCCTCAAGCGCACATGTGTAACATATTCCTAATCTGGACATCACCAGAGTTTTTTCTGTGCCTGGGAGAAACTAGAAATGAAAATGACAATTCATTAAAATACTTACATATTGTAATTAAAAATATATAATGAGATTCACAGAAGGTCAGATATATCCATTCAATGTCCAATGAAAATTTACTCATAATATTTGATATGACATGTCTTCCCTTTTATACTTTGCAACATCACCCTGAACCTGTTCATCATCATTCAATATCTACCTTTCCATCAGATAACATCACCCCAAACCTGTTCATAATCATTCAATATCTACCTTTCCATCAGAATCATTTCACAACTCCCCCCCCAAGGGTAATATTATATAGCAACTCAATTTCTTACTTCTTTAGAAAAATAAAAGGTTTTGTGCAGGCTAAAATAATGTGTTTCCAAGAGAACCCTGAGAGAAGTTTAAGAGTTACACATTTTGTATGAATAATGAAATACCTCATATTGTGCATTCTCAGATAAAAAATTAATACACTCACTCTCATGTTGGGAGCCTGAATACGTTGAATCGTGTTTTGCAATTCTGCAATTGCACGGTTCAAACGATCTCCCATCTTCTTCACGTCCTCAGGTTCATCCAGTTCTTTCAAATTATCAGGTAACTGCGTGTAATCAATCACAATCCTGCACACACAATAACCATCTTATAAAATGTTTCCTGAAAAATAAACTGATTATCAATGAGTACAAAATGTTATCACCTGTTCAGGGTCCAGCCACAGTGAAACCCAATTGTTTCTCAATTTAAGACAAATTAATTTTGCTGGATCTTTCAGGCCTTAGTGATGAACTTCATGCAAGTTGTTCCAAATTGGTATTAAAATTCATCTGCTTTCTGGGAAATACTAAAATGAGACCTTAATCTGTATGATTAACTAGCAGAAAAACTTGCTCATGCAATCTGCAAACATCTGGGCAGGAAACATGCTTCTTCTACACCAAAATGTTTCTGTTACTATGAACTTTTAGTACTTAAAGAATACAAACTATCTTGCAACTTCTTAAAATGAGCTGATTGAGGAAGAAACATCATGAACACTTTGTACAAGAATTTTTCACTCAGCCAGGATGCTAGAGATTATATCATGACACTGATGCTCGCCGCACACTGAACTCAACCAGAAAACAGCAGCCAGCGACTAAACGACAGTAAAGTACTTTAGGATAAGCAAGTTTAAGGTAATACATTACGGACTGCCTTGGCAGGGTTTCCACACTGCCAACCTCACTTACTGCTCTGCCATTATGTACCACAGTTTAGTTAAAATCAAATGGCAATACTAATACAATTTTCACTATTTTAGTGCTCAACACTTCTACTATTAGTTAACCATCGTTAGACTTATCTTACTTATACTACTGTGAGGTTATGACACCTCAAACAGACACAATTATTCTCATACAGATCATACGTCTTCACTGTGTTATCTTACAACCAAGGCCAAGGGAATGGCAATGGAGTAGCACACATACAAATATAAATATGTATGTTCACCTAGTTACGGCTGAATCATTCAAGGTAATAATTAGTTGGTCACTTAGCATGGTCCATACATATTGGATAAGCTGTTTGAGACTGATAACCAAGAATAATGATAAATTTACAATTTTCATAGCTCATATGTGCGTAATTGTTACTCAAAAGTAACATAATTTCACATAAAATTATGTGTTACTTAAGTAACACGTAATAAAATCTAAGCTTTCTATGCTTTCTACAGTAACAATAATATAATTCTTTCTATAATAATGCTAAATACTGTATCACCATGATCAGGCAGGTGAAGTTTGCTATGGTGATATATCACAATCCAACCGACAACATTTGAATCAGCAATGTCTCTGTTAAAACTGCAAACGTGGAGACGGAATGAAACTTCAGGGTTGTATCTGATAATTTTAATGTAAATAAATGGGTCAATAAATGATGTAATAACCAACATGACTTCAACTAGCCTATTATATTAATTGAAAGATTTAAAGAAAGTAAGTACCTATTCTCAGAGCTTGTTGGAAACGGCAGTAGCAATAATTCACTGTAACAAACCTGCTCTCACGATCATATATTTGTTGAGTGCTGGTCGAACTTGTCTCCATAGAAGATGTTTCTGATGTTTCCATTGCTGACGTCTCTTGCGCAATGTCTTCCATATTACCACGTTGCATGGGGATGGCAATATCCTCCATCTACAATCAATCAAATAACAGCATTAAACTGAAATAGTTACTTCATCCTTGTGCATTCATTTCTCTAATAAATTTCATCTATTGCTTACAACTGTAAAGAGTTATTATCATCATTATTCTGTTTGTACAAAGAACTTCCTGCTTAATAACAGATTCAGACTACATCAATTTTTGGGTCTAGTCTTCAGGATTCAGATGCTGTGTAATACTTTTCTACAGGAAAAACTTGTCCCCATCTTCAAGGTTGTACCCTGTTGTGAAACTGGATAGCAGGGACAGATATGGGTTGAATCTTCTCTGATGCATGCACGTCTTAATGGAGTGGCTTGCTTCTCCAGTGTGTAATGACTGCTCCACACTGACAGAGGTGCTGTAAACACCTGGTGTTCTTAAAGGTGGTCATCTTTGGTGGGCTGAAGGAAGCTCCAGATTTCTTTGGGCAGAAGACCTACAGCATAGATTCTAAATTTCTTAACACTACTGACAGCTGATATGAACACCTTGATCCACATGAGCCACTGTATACTTTTACAAGAACCAAGATCTTGGCAAAAATACTGGAACACGCAGATCTTAAAAGCAGGGAAGCAACTGAGACTGGGCTTCACCCCTACAACATACAGGAAACTGAGAGTCTGACTTCATCCTAATATCATGAAGGGCCCGAGCAGCTGCCACAAGGCAACAGATGCAAGCGCACCCCCTCCCCAGCTGTCTCTCATAGCAGGCTCCAGTGCTGCCCCACTTGTGAACTTCTCTGGGGACAATGCATTAACTACTGGGGTATGCTAGCTCCATGGAGAAATTTTAAGAAACAGTATTGTATTTTTATACTGTGAACTGCAGTGGCTTGAATTAAAAATAGAACAGAAAAGTTGGAAGGGACAGTCAACAGAGTATAATTATTCTTTCAGTTTTCAACAACAGAAACCAAGAATAATAAACTGTAAATAGCACAGAATCCAGCTTGCAGCAAATTCACATAAAATCAGTGAAATTGTTACAATAATTAAAGGTGTACACACCTTACACAAACAACAAATCAGCTCTTTTAAATGTACACATATTTCACTCACTTTGCACTGTTTGAGGATGGCATGACGTTCTCCTCGCTTCTGTTCAATTTTTGCCTCCAGTGCTGCCACCTGCTTTTGTGCAGCTTGAATATCTTTGGCTATTGCACCAACTTCACGTCGTGCCTGTTCAATACAAACCCAGTCACGTCACTGTCATACGTTACAATATTAACCTTAATAGCATTATTAACAATATTATGGTACTATCAAAAAGGTTAATGATCCCTAATATAACAATATGTTCATGTGGTCCGTTCATTGAAGAAACTGACATTCATATCATCACTCTGCAAGATGAATGATTTGAAATGAATACGTTCAAAACACCACAAAGCTTGATATTCATATGCATATCTGGACATGAAATTGTAGGCATCTTCAAGACGCAAAGAGTTTTCCTGTGCACCTTATCAACAACATGAAAGAACTTCTAGCAGTCAACACAGTGCAACAACCCAGAAGACAGCCATCTTCAAGACAAAATCCTCATAAAAGTACAGCAATGAAATGGTTTTTTTCAGAGAGTTCTAGTGCATTATATTCTGTCACGGCTTTGACCTACGCAGTAACAAGTACATAATTTACTGGAATCCCATCTTCAGCATCTGCTTGTTCACTTTATGTTCCGACTTGATTTTTTATCAAATGACTTTTTTCATTTCTACTGCTTTAAAATTATAGAAAATTGTATGCAGTGAGTATACATAAATTAAGAACTGAGCGATCAATTTTTGAACACATCATACGAAAAATAAAATCAACTGTTATGAAATGTCAAACACTCCCAATCATTTATACCAGAACACAAAAGGAAGAAATTTGAATAAGAACCAGTTACAAACCTTGCCTATCAGATCTTCCATGTTGTCAACTTCTGATTTTTTAGCCAGACGTTCTGATTTGAGAACGTCTAGTCGGCGCATGTCCCGTTCAATATCTGCCATCTGTTTTTGTTCTGACTGTTTGGCCGTCTCAAGTTCATCCTCGTCATCTTGCACTGCCCGCTCCCAGCGCAAAACATTGTCTAAGTGCATGAGAGCAGAGCTCAGTAATATTTCTCAGAAATTTCAATCATTAGAGCACAGTGTAAAGGAACACAAGTGACCACCTTCAACACCACTTTTACAATTTCAATTCTAATATCAACACAACTAAAATTCTTTTGCTTCTAAGAGCAGCAATAAAGGAGATGCTTGAAAATGTTCTTCATACATATTAAAACCTTTCAAATTTAATTTCTCATACTACTGCCTTTGTTCCTAACGATCACAAAGAAATTGCAAACTTGTTCCTGAATTTGTCAATGACAAAACTTTAAACTGCAGAGGTTATACAGTACACAATGAAAAGTGAAGACAACAAATGGTGAGTAAGCGAGTATTCAAAAGGAAACTCCTAGCTTCCCAACTCAGGGTAGAGAGAGGCATGCATCGAGATGGAAGTGTTTGCATATGAAGAGAATTTTATACAAATTTGTGACATGAAAGAACGTGAATGCAGGCATACCTCAGCTTAGAACATCATGACAATCTCTATCAGAATTCATGTTTTATACAAATTTGTGACATAAAAGAACGTGAATGCAGGCATACCTCAGAGATATTGTGGGTTCCGTTCCAGACCACCGCAATAAAGCGAGTCACAATTTTTTTTTTGTTTCCCAGTGCATATAAAAGTTATGTTTACACTATACTGTAGTCTATTAAGTGTGCACTAGCATTATGTCTAAAAACAATGTACATACCTTAATTAAAAAATACCTTATTGCTAAAAAATGTGACACAGAGATAGTGAGCACATGCTGTCGGAAAAATGGCGCCAATAGACAAGCTCGATGCAGGGTTGCCACAAACCCTCAATTTGTAAAAAAGCAATCTGTGAAGCGCAATAAAACGAATATGCCTGTACAAGTCGAAAAGGTAAAAGGCACAGTGGATCCAAATTGTCCAGCCCCACCCCAAATGAGGAAGTGATAAAACCTACTTTAACTGTTACAATGGAACATGCCACTGCTTCTAATTTGGTGGTATAATTAATCTATACTGGAACTAAAATTTTATTACTGACTCGGTGCTTTGAAAGGGCGTCATTCTTACATAGCTTCCCTTATAGCACAACATTGTGATAGAGACTCAGGGCCACAGTATGTAAGTACTGAATACAAAAGAATTTAATACCTGCAAATGTGATGTGACATTTTCAAGAGCTTCTTAGAGTGAAGACACATTTCATAAATCTTAACTTACTTGAAGTATCTCGGGTCTTCTCAAATTCCAGCTGATTCAATATGCGATTTCTTTGATTTTCAAACTCCATCCTTTTCTTCATGCGTTCTTGCTGAGTTCTAAGAAAAGGTTAGATGTTTCTATTTACGAACAAAAGAATAACCAAATACAAAAAAAAATTATTTTATAGGACTCTGGCTGATAGAATGAGTCTTACACACATTACAGTAACATGTACTTTGTAATAACAAATGTTTCATACTGAAAAAAAAAATCAAATTCTGTATTCCTTTACTATAATGCCACACTCTTCTGTTGTAATGCTGTAAATTTGAGAGTGGGTGAGAAATACAAAGCAGAGTTGTACATACAAGGTGACTGTAAAGTGTGTGCACCAATTTCTTTTTATAACTCTGATGTACTGACAGAAATGTGGCACACTATAAGAGGTCATCATAAAGGCTGAATCTCCTTTACTCAGTGGCAACTTCTGTTAAATCCTTTTTGATCAATTAGTGTAAATATGGGGACAAGTTACCAGAATAAAGGACTAATCTGAAACTTAGTATGAAATACAAAAGCACTTGTATAAAGTACAAAATTTTTAAGTAGCCTATTGTGCTAAATTGTGTCAAAAACACAAGTTTCTGAACGGTTTGGGGTTCAAAGACGGTAAAGAAGAATGAATAAACAGGATTTGAGGTTTCCATGGCAGTGAGTCCAAAGATGGCTTTCTCCTGTGTTGTTGTGCTGTGTAGTCTGGTAGAAGTTTACCTACATTTCACAGGTCTATGCTGCCTCCATCATCAGGGTGACCGTCGACCTGATCGTATACACAGCGGTCATGAGATACTGTACCTGAGTTCTCTCTCTTCATATTGACGAATGTTGGCTACACCAATTTGTTCACAAAAGCTAGTAAACACTTTGTCTTCAACATTGTTCATGCTCTCCTTGATTCGCTGAATCTCATTGCCTCGGTCAAACATGGTCTTCTCAATTTCTGCAATGGTAGGCTGCAATGATGTCAGATAATATCAGGTTTAAGTCAGTAGTCAGACACTACTTCTACTTAATTACAGAATTTTATCAGACTCCACGAACAGTGAAATTTTGTAAAGCATTCATGCACTGAGTACTGTCCCGCATAGGTAGTATGTCTACGTCACTAACGCACATCTTAGATATTATAATATACATTTACATATTATATACAGTTCAAATGTCCATGTATGTGCACGTGCATGCGTGTGTCTGTGTGTACACAAACTAGCGTCGGTGCTCCAGCATGCTGTCTAGCACTACTGAGGAGTTCCGGTGGGCGCAGTAGTGTTTGTCGACATGGCAATATTCCCCAGTTTGTACTGTACCACCAGCCTCTAGAATATTTAGTTACACTTGGAACACTGGCCAAAATTGCTCAAACATCATATGAGGTGCTATAGGCAGTGTATGACACCATTCAGGGTTAACTGCTCGCTGAAGGCTAATACTAGTGACAGTTCATGTGACAGATATTGCAGAGCCTGGGGATAAGGACAACATGAACCACCCCCTTCTTGCACAAGTACAAGGGTACAGTCGAACATGTGAAGACGGCTGAGGTGCACATACGGTAATTTCAATGCTACATATCTTCCTGCTCCCTCTGGTGAAGTTACAAGTATTATAAATATAAGTTCAGGCAAACTGCGAATCTAGTGCTGAAATGATAAACAAGTGGAACACAGACCAAGGAGTGTTAATTCAGGAACCAGTCCTCAGAACAGTAGAATACAACACAGACACGCATGTACATTTAATGAATAACTGCACCTTCTTTATAACTACTTCACTGCCACTGCAAACTGTACGGTATTAATGAACAATTTGTAATATACTATACATCATTTCTTCACTGCCACTGCAAACTGTATGGTATTAATTAACAATTTGTAATATACTATACATCATTAAGCGAGAAACATGCCATTGCATACACCAGCTATTCCGATCAAGGTTTTCTGAGATTTTCCTCAGTCCCTCAAAGGAAATTCTGGTGTAATTCCTTATATTGTGCCACGCAAAATTTCAAGCACACGTAAAATTTTTAAACTACATGTGTACCTGTAAATCTAACACTTACCCCAAAATTTTCAGATTTGTTCTTCAGTGCATCCAGCTCTAATTCCAGCTGCTGGATTTGTTGGAGCTAGAATCAAGAAAAAAGTCTGAGTAAGCAAGCACCTTTGAGATTCTGTGTTCCAAGAGCACGCACAGTAATTACGTGTTTGTTTGTTTGATAATAACAGACCCTACCTCAAACTCCACTGCCTGTTTTCATTACAAATGAGAGCCAAACTGATTGCAAATGTCTTCCCTAATGCCTTGGAAATGGTGATTGATGAAACTCCTCATTACTATCAATGGTAGAATGACAATCAGCTTAACACAGTCTCCAAATCTTGATGTGAAGCCTAGTATTCCTCACTCTAACAGATTACTTTTGTCAGAAGTGAATGGTAAGGCACGTAAAAAAATCTGCCTATACACAAAATCCAGTTTCTTACTCAAAAATTACAAGGTACCTAAATTTCAACTGAAAGACGGTTTATAAATAATGAGAGTGTTAAAAGATTCCACATGTCAATTTCCAAGCTTGGAGTGAATAACTACCAAACTAACAAACAAAAACTTGCTGTTCGAATGTTGATGCATCATATGCTTCAGGTCAAAATCCAAAGAAAACTTAAAATTGGAGACAGCACAGTGAAGGAAGTCCTTCATTTATGGTCTTACTGCTGACTCTCTTTGACAATGTAATGACATATATGCTCAAAAAATATTTTTTCTCTACAGCTACACTAATTATATAATATTACAAAATGATGCCCTCTAATATCTGACTATATTTGACAACTGATGCACTTCGATTCATGTACCATGATTTCTAGAATAACATTCTAAATTTTGATCTATAAAGATTCAGTGATGACTTTACTCACTGTTTTCAATGAATAAACCAGCAGAGGACTATGGCTACTATACTCACCAAATCTGGATGTGCGCAATTTTTTGGTGTTCCTTACACTCTTTATTTCATTCACTGAATGTGTGTATGCATCTTTATAAGGGATTTTGTGTGTGTGTGTGTGAAATTACAGGATCCTGAATACTACATACTGTCACCATCAAGTGTTTTGGCTGAGGTAATGAAAAATCTAAAACCAGAAATCTAGAAATATGCTTCAAACTGCATTTATATTAGCAATACTTACAGTTTTCTCTTTGTCAGTCTTGGAGTACTTAAGGCGGGTTTCAAGACCTCGAATCTGAGAGTCCACTGTATTCAGTTCTGATTCCTTGCGTGACCTCTTCATGGAATCCCTGAGTTCCTCTGTCAGTTTTTCCTTCAAACCATAAAAATTTATACTCTCTACTATGAACATAACCAAAACAAATAATAGTACAATGTGGTACCTGTGACCACTGAGACTATGCAAAACAGAGCAGGGAAAGATAGACATATATTCAAAAACTGGAGTGTGAGATAACCCACCCTAACAATAATGTGAATAGATGATGATGATGATAATGATAAGGGTAATCAAACAAATTAAGTAAAGCATAACACCACAACAATGAAAATGAGAAACTGTAGAAATCTATGAAGCCTACCTGTCACATGCCATTCAGACATGAATAAGATTGGTGTATTTTACATCTGAAAATTCTTGCCCTCAAAGGTGACCAATATAATCCAAGACCTTAAATGCAATTTAATTATACTACAACCAATGATCTGAAAAATTACTGTTAATTATGGAACACACAATGAAAATTCTGCATCTCATGACTAACGGCCAGCATATGAAAACCCTCAAAAAGTTACATATTTACAAAATC